CTCCAGGGACGAACAACAGTAACGTTGATGCAGGCAGACAGTGGTGGTGTAAAATATGAAAATAATAGTAATTTATAATTCATAAGGGGACCATGACTGTGGAGGGGAGGTAAGGGGAGCTGATATAAAGGGCTCAAACATAAAGACAATATTTTTAAAATTATGAAGGCAACATATGTACAAATGTGCTTGTAACAATTGGTGTATGGATTGTTATAAGAACTGTGAGAGCCCCCAATAAAGTAATTTATTTATAATAAAAAGAAGCATTGTTAATTATTGGCGATTGGCATATTTTATATAAATGGGAGTATATGATATGGACTCTTGTGTTTCCCCTCCCCCAGCCCCCCATAGCCACTAGAATCCTGGTGACACTGAGGTTAAGCACTCTTCTGGTGTGCTAGAATGAATCCTTAGTTGAAACAAGATCCATGATATCTTGATCTATCTCTCTATCTATCTCTCTCTCTATCTATCTATCTATCTATCTATCTATCTATCTATCTATCTATGTATCTATCTATGACTTCTAAAACTGTGTGAGAAATTCCTTTGATACATATTTCTCTTCCTATCTGTACCTCTATCTCTCTCTATATATATGTCTAGAGAAATATATTTCAAGGGAATGGCTCACACTATTGCAGGAGAGAGGAAGTACAATCTGACTCAAATCTATGAGTCAGATTTTAATGGGAGACATAACATGTCCTGGTAACTGTTAAGGAGGCTAAGCAGGAAGCAAGAAGACCACCCAGGAAGCAGGAAGACCACAGGCTGGTGCAGGTAGAGGCAGAAAAATTCAAGGTCAACAGGTCAGGCTTCTGCCTGCAGAGTGAAAAAATCCAAGGTTGGCAGTCACTATGGCAGGCCAATGATAGCTCCCAGGTTGTCAGGCAATATAGCAGGCTGTTTGCTCAAGGTCAAAACACCAGGGTCAACGAGACAGATGCAGGATCCAGATCCAGCAAGGAGGAAGTGACAAGTCTACCCACAAAGTCTGCTTACATTAAGAGTAGGCCACGCCCCTGAGGAAACTACTTGTCAGTTGCAGCAGAGCTTGGCCTGGGTGACGAGGCCGTCTATTCCCTAGTCCTCTTACATCTGCTTTGCCGTTCACAGTAAATTCCATCATGGAGTTGTTTAGGTTAGGTCACATCAGGGGGAACCACCAATTGCTATACTACCAAGAATCGTGGCTCAACCACATTGACACAAACCCAAATGAACACAGTTGCTAACCTAAGTTTCAGCGGTTTGAGGTCTTGAGTCACCAGTTATTCTCTGGGAGAAAGATCTGGCAGTTTGTTTTATAAAGATCCCAGCCTGAGGAACCTCTGTGGAGTTCTGCTCTACCCCACGGGCCACTCTCAGTCAGAACTGACTCCACAGGAGTGACTTGGATACGCTTTCTTCCCCATTAGGTGTAGTTTCCAAGAATCACCCATTCTGTATCATGTAATCTTGTTTCGTGGGTTTTCAATGACTAACAATCATCTATTGTATGTCAAGGTCACATTGTGTTCATCTGTTGATGGACATTTGGATTGCTTCTACCAGTTAGTACTTGTGAATACTGCTTCTGTAAGCATTTATTTACCAGTATTTGTTTAAATACCCCTTTTAATTCTTTTTGGGTCGTACCTAGCAGTTGAATTGCTGGTCACTTGCTAAATCTAGGGATAATATTTGGAGGAACCAATGATCTATTCTTCACAATACTTGGGCCCTTCCCCAGCAGAAATATGTGAGGGCTATATGAGTGGTGGAAAAGTTTGTGGCAAACTTCCATTAACTATTAATTCAAATATTCCACATACTTTTTGAAGCACCCTAATAATTACTAATGTATAAAATCATACAAAACAGAAAAACAAATTGCAGAATAGAAAGTAACACAGGATGCAATGCACTGGGTATTCACGTACAAATCCTGAATATCCTTTAACCTTTAACCTAATATCCTTTAGACGTTTTAATCAGGCTCTGTGGTGGCACCCATCCACATGTGTTTGTTTATCACCCATGGACTGATCAGGTAGGTATGACTTTCATTGATGCCAATAGGTCAAACCATAAGAGCGAGTTGTGGAGTTCAGCTGTAAAAAGTACACAAAGGCCCCGGAAGCAGATACCAATTAGGCCAAAGGAGCCTCTTCCCTGGGACACCTCCTCCACTCCCCGTCCTCCATCTACTGCCTTATGTGGCTCCTCCTTAGAAAGATTCCCCCTCTTCTCTCCTAATGTCTTCAACTTGAGTGGACCCTTCTGCAATACTCATGCAAACCTCTTTGCACTTTCTTCTTTAAAAAAAATAATTTTATTATGGCTCATACAGCTCTTATCACAATCCATACATACATCTATTGTGTCAAGCACATTTGTTCATATGTTTCCATCATTATTTTCAAAACATTTTCTTTCACCTTGAGCCCTTGATAGCAGCTGTTCATTTCCCCACTCCCCCATCCTTCCTCCCTCATGAAACCTTGATAATTAATTTTTAAAAATTTCCCCGCCTTACCCCTACTGATGTTTACCTTCCACCACTTTTCTGTTCTCCAACCCCCTAGGAAGGGGTTATATGTAGATCATTGTGATCGGTTGCCCCTTTCTCCCCCCACCTTCCCCTTCCCCTCCCGGTGTCTCTACTCCTCTTTGGACTTTCCATTCACAGAATAGAAAGCAACCCGATGAACACACTACCTTTAAGATAACATAGCATGTCACAGGTGTCATTGATTTAAATTAGAAAATCATTCTTATAAATAATAATATAACCCTTTGAACATATTGATATGGTATGTGAACTATTATTATGCTATATTATTTAATATTACATGATATTCTGAAATAAGGGAGTACTATCTATGGAACATATTATGGAAATTATAACACTTAGGCTTTTTATCTATTACGACCTGTAGATGTGCAGACACTCACTGAGAATATCGTATCATCCTAACACCAACACCTACTTACAGGGATGACATTCCATTTATTCAGGGTCTATTGACAATTAATTAAATTTAAAAACATGGTAACAATACCGTAGTGAGACTGGTGGGGCTCTATGTGATCAGATGTGCTTCATAAAACCCTGGCTTCTAGGGAAATTATGTCTAACTGTGTTCTTTAGGTCTTTGGAGAAGGAAATGTACCTCAGAGTAATCATTAGACATTACCCTGCATGCTGGAGACATGCCAAAATAGAGGTGACCACCTTCTGGGAAGAAGTAGTCCAATGGGATAAAGCGGTGCACGGAGCTCCACGTTGTCTCCCAAAGGACAAACTGGCAAAAGTTTGAATTTTGTTCCCTTAACCCCAGAGAAATAAAATTTTCAGGGAATGTAAAATGACAGAATACTTCATTAATGAGACACAAGGGATTTCATCCACTAGAGCCAAAGGCTTGTAAATACATCCTCTACACTGACCCAGATCTACTTGATTTATCTAAGGTGATGAGAATACACAGTTGTACCTTCCAGAAGCCTCAGGAGTGGGTCAATCTCCACATTCTTCCTGGGGGCACAACCTCTGACTTTAGCAGTGGCACATGGGAGAAACAGCACTGGTGAAGCCTTCTCTGATAATACTTGCATGAACAACATCATCATCCCAGGTGCCCAGAGATTGATGATGCCTGATGGCCCTCTCTTATTGGCAGTATCTGTACACCTATCAACAGGTATAACAACTAAAAGCAAGTTTAATGGATAAATTCCTGATAAGTTGGAGTATCTGGCTCTAGAGACTGATTCTGGCTAAAGGAAAATGTCTTCTTTCTCCAATCTGTCTTCCCTGGTGCTGGCTCTCATTCCTGCAACCTCTTTCTCCTAACAGCCTTTCTTCCTTCTGCATTAATGTGTGTGTTAACCTCATTCCAATATTTGTTCACACTGTAACTCACAGAGCTCTTACTTAGCACTGAATTATACTCTTGACACAAAGACATGAATAGACACTTTCCCTTCTTGCACGTATCTTACATTCTACGTAAGGTAACAGAGGGTAAGTGCGTGCTTATTCCGGCACTGCAATCCTACTGTAATGGATCATAGTGTTGTTGCCCTTCCTGGGGACTTTTAGTGAAGGGTTCACAGAGAGATGATGGTCACACTGAGCTTTGAAGAGGGAGACAGGAGGGGAGTAATGTTGAGTTTATTAAAACCATATGGTGTGCATAAGTAATACCTGATGAACAATGAAAGCAAGGAATGGAAAGTGAAGCATGAGCATGGACAGGTAGGCAGCAGCCATGTAACACACAGCTGTCTACTTTCCCTAACGATGGACAGCTCTGAAATTAGCGGAGAGTCAATGCAGAATTAGCAGCACAGTCTGTCTGCAGTCAGACTTGCCTTTGCAGACATTGCTCTGGTGCATGTGCAGAGCAGCCTCCTGCTCCTGGGAAAACCGTAGAGAGACGAAGAGTGGAGAGAGCACAGTGGAAGTGGGCGATGAGCCCGTGAGAATGTGGATTATAATGCATCAAAACCTCCACCGAGTAATACGACACAGCGTGACATTTAAAATTACTTATTTTTTCAAACCGTTCAAAAAAATTGGTATAAGAATTTGGTTTTAAGAGGTGAAGAATATGTGATCTGAAACGAATTTTTTCTTGTCTGAGGCAGGTAGTGGACTCTGGGTGAAATTTACAGCTTGCTGTTTTCAAAGTATTTGCATATGACTAATTTTTTAAATTTTATTTAACTTGATTCTTTCAACAGTTTATCTTTATCAGGGAGTCTTCAGACTCACAACAATCTGATCTCATATTCACATCAATTTTAACTACAGCTTGAACCAAGATTTCTTTTTTCACATCAGTTACACCATCCACCTTGTTGTCAGAGGGGGTGAGGAATACTCCTGTGTCAGGAGTAGCACAGCCCCTATCTCGGCCTAAAGGCTTCTTCCCATGACTAACATCCTAACTGCCTTCAGATTTCCTGCTCTAAGTCTCTTTATCAGAAGTGACTATACAAAGATGCATTTATTTTTACTCTATAACTTGTTTACTTCCTACTGTGAATTAAGTGGTTGACAGACCCGACCAACATTCAAGAAATCACACACATTCTGATTTAACTCGTCCACTGCAATTCCCCAATGTGCCATAGCTGATCCCGCTGCCTCTTTGTGTTTCCTGTTTCCTTTCCTCCTTCCTTCATAACCCTCTGAATTTTATCCCCGGGCAAGTGCTGCCTCTTGAACTTACAGAGTTGATTACTGGCACATGGAGGAGACTTCTGTTCCAGACATGACTGCTGTTTGCATGCTCCATGAGTCCACTGGACCAATTGTTTCCATGTGTCTTTCAACTTCCATCACTCTTCCTACCTCCGTAAGGGAGGAGCCCAATAGTTGCATCTTCTGCTGTTCACGTCA